CGAATGAATATAAACTGGCCGTGGGGAAGTTCAGGCTTGAAATTAGACAAAGGTTTCTGACCGTCAGAGGGGTGAAATATTGGAACGGCCTTCCGAGGGAAACGGTGGGGGCGACGGACCTGTCTGGTTTTAAGATTAAGTTAGATAAATTTATGGAGGGAATGGTTTAATGGTAAAACATATTAGCCAAGGAATACCAAGCAATGGTAGGTAAATAGTAAAATGGCTAACAGGGGTCAGGCTAGAGACTCTTGCCTACATGCTCGGGGTTCAGCTGATCGCCATATTTGGGGTCGGGAAGGAATTTTCCTCCAGGGTAGATTGGCTGAGCCTCTGGAGGTTTTTCGCCTTCCTCTGCAGCATGGGGCAGGGATCACTAGCAGGAGGGTCTCTGCCAATTGAAGTCACTAAGACACAGGATTTGGGGACTTCAACAGCAGAGTCAAGGGAAGGGGTAGGGACGGTTTTGTGGCCTGCAGCATGCAGGGGGTCAGACCAGATGATCATAATGGTCCCTTCTGACCTTAAAGTCTATGAGTCTATGAGAAATAGGACTTTGTTTACATTCTTCCTAAATTGCATCAAAGAAATAGATGACTATCATCAATTTCTCCTTCTAATGGAAACAGCCTCAGGGCCTGTCATAAATATAAAGGGAAGGGTAACAACCTTCCTGTATACAGTACTATAAAATCCCTCCTGGCCAGAGGCACAAAATCCTTTTACCTGAAAAGGGTTAAGAAGCTCAGGTAACCTAGCTGGCACCTGACCAAAAGGACCAATAAGGGGACAAGATACTTTCAAATCTGGGGGAGGAAGGCTTTGTTTGTCTGTTCTGTGTCTGTCTGTTCCGGGTTCTTGCCGAAGACAAGTACTAGCAAGGGAATGTGTTATCTTACTTTTATTTTGGCTTTTGATTTTCTCTGTGCTGAGAGGGAGGTGTATTCCTGGTTTTCTTTTTGTAACTTTAAAGTTTTGCCCAGAGGGAAATCCTCTGTGTTTTGAATCTGATTGCCCTGTGAGATTATCTTCCATTCTAATTTTACAGAGTTGCTCCTTTTACCTTTTTTCTTTGTAATAAAGTTCTGTTTTTTAAAGAATCTGATTGTTTTTTTTAGTGTCCTAAAAAACCCCAAGGTTGGTCTATGCTCATCTTGTTTATTCTCAAGCCTCCCTAGGACAGGGGGTGTAGGGCTTGGGGGGATATTAGAGGGGAGTAGGAACTCCCAGTGGTCCTTTCCCTGAGTTTTGTCTAATCACTTGGTAGTGGCAGCATTACCTAATCCACGGTACAAGGCAGAATTTGTGCCTTGGGGAGTTTTTAACCTAAACTGGTAAAAATAAGCTTAGGGAGTTTTTCATATGGGTCCTGACAGGGCCCCAAAGTTTTGGCTAACTGCCCAGATCCAGAAGCGATAACAATATGTTTTTTTGTATTTCCACAGTTTATTACACAGTTCTGCCACCTCTCCCTTGGTTGTCAGCTTCATTAATGGCACGTGACTATTTATACAGCAGATTCCTGTCAGCCAGAATCTTTTAGGAACTCTCTAAAGAAAGTCGTCTCCAGTGATGCTATGCTCCACGTGCATGGGTGACGCATACAGTCCATGTCCACTCACTAGCCACCTGCAACAGAAAGAAATGGCTGTCAAGTGTATGATGCTAGCCCATAGCATATGCTTGGTGTAACTATAAAAGGATGGTGTCAAGTGCATAGGGGCACGGGACCCTTGGCTAGAGAGGAACTTTAGAGATAAAGGGGAAAATCCTTTTTAAATGATGTGGCCCAAATCTTCCCAGGCTGGATGCACTGAGGAGGGGTGGAACACCAGCAACTCACATTGACTTCGGTGAGACTTACAGGTGCCCAGCACTGCTCAGTGTTTAGCTCTCAGAGAATAGTTCTTCTAGCCTGCAGCACGCTGTCTATCAAGCAACAGGGTTAGGAGTGTTCAACATGCTATGATCTGTTTAGCTGACCCTCTCCTGAGCTATGGTCCCGAGCTCAGATCCCACCGTGAGCACAGCGGGATGAATGCCAATGCAAACAGACCCCGTCCATCCCTGTCCTCACTATGTTTCAGGGTGCAGCCTCTGCATCTGGAACTTTGTTTACAAAGCATTTCCAGGCTGTAACGTCAGAGAAATGGCACCGAAACAAACGTGTGATTCAAATGAAAGCAACAACAGTGCCATGCGACAAAACCCCTCAGCTACTGGGCCAAATTCCCTCCGTGGAGTCGCCTATTGCCATAACATGTCTGTGTCTTCAGATTCCTCCTCAAGGGCTGCTCAGACCGCGACACTCCCAAGGAGCTGGCTGGCTAATAATGGCCAGGTTGAGACATCACTGGACGACTGTGCAAAAACCCAAAAGCCAGCCCAGCAGACTTGCTGCAATTGGCAATATCCAGTCAGGAGAAGCTCTGGGACAGCAGGGAGCGCACAGGGCAGAGGTGCACTGTGAAAGAAAGAGCTGAGATGATTGGTTACCTTTGCTAGAGGCTTGAGGAGTCTACAAACCCGGGGGCAGGCTGTGGAGGAGTCCATCGGGTACTACACTTGGAAAAAGAAAAACCAGTTAGAAACATGGATGCATACCAAGGGCTCAGCTTTATTCCAGGAATAAATTCTTCTTCCTGGTCAATAAATATTTGTCGTAGGGCCTAGTCTTGTTCCTAAACCTTACACTGTTTCTCTGGTGTTTTAGGGACGTCACGCCTGAGGGCAATGATAACCCGAGTTCCATTACAGTGGATGCTGGGCATTTTCGGGTTTTAAAGGGCTCCGTTGAGTTCTCATGGAGGCCCAGGAGCCACAGAACAACATCCCTGCTACTCATTCCGAAAAGCAGTTGCCAACTGGAGCAATTGGGATCTTCCCGCTGGTGTCCCCCAGGGATAGTATCCCAAATGCTGTTTCCACTGTCGTATTTGTAGCTCTTGTGTGACTCTCCCATTTGACCAGCAGTCAGTGAGGGTCAGTTACTCAGCAAGGCCAGCTCCGATCGCAGAGTTTCTCCCAGCACCACAGAACACTTGCTGTCACTTAAACTCAGTTTGCAAAGCAAAGCAAAGCATATTAAACAAAATAGGCTGGGCTGGCCCTGTGGGGTAGTCAGAAACCAACGGTAAGTCGGACCTCAGGGCATCTGCTGCTCTGGCCTCCTATGAGCCCGCTTAGCCACCCCAAGGCGGCAGGAGGAAAGGGACTAGAACAGCTCCTGACGTGGCAGCTTATTGACTTACGTGTGCATTGCAGGGAAGGTGCTAGTTGGGCCAGACATGTGATGCACAGTGGATGGGAATCCTCCAGTCTGTCCCATGAGGCTGGATGGCATCACAGGGGGCCACATGGAGTAGCCAACTGGGGGCAGCTGAGAAGGAATGGCCTGCACTCCTGGGGAAGGGTAATGGTGGTGATGATGCACTGTGGATGGCCTTGGTTTTTCTGCTTTCACAACAACTGGAGCAGCAAACTGGGGATCCTCAATTTAAGGGAAAAAGGGAAATTTGTTAAATTTGTACCCATATGGCAGGTGAGCACAATGGTCTGTTACTCACCAACGGAGTGCCAGCTTGGAGCACTCTTCATAAAGAGCATTCCCTTGTCCTGTCCCAGCTATACTGACAACAGTGCGATAACAACTGCAGCATGACATGGGTGACTGGGTCCCACCCAGACAGCCAGGGTCTGTCTATCCTGCAATTAGACACCAGTGGCTGGCCCATGCCAGCTGACCTGGGTTAAGGGGCTTGGGCTACGGGGCTTTTTAACTGCACTGTAGACGTTCGGGCTCAGGCTGGAGTCCAGGTCTGGGACCTCCCCTTGGGGGGTTCCAGAGCTTCTGCTCCAGCCCGAACTCGAACATCTAAACCCAATTAAACAGCCCCATGAGTCGAGTCAGCTGCCATGGGCCAGCCGCGGGTGTCTAACTGCAGTGCAGACATACCGCACGCTCCGGCTCCACTCCCACTCCCCCACCTCAGGAACGGCCAGGGCAAAGCGACTGGCCTTGCCATGGGATGTAAAGAACAAGAGGGCGGCTCTGCTTGTTCCTTGGCTCTTAGGTGCAGGCTCCTGACCTTTTACTCTTCTCATTTCCTTTAGCCTGTGATCAGGCTGTTTGCTCTCCCCTCCTGCAGACCCCCACCCCCCGGCTAGGGACAAGCAGCATCAGGCACCGCATTAAACAAGGCTCTGCCTTTCCATTCAATGCAGACGAGAATATTCACCCGGGATGTTAAAGCCACCAAAATTGGAGTGAGGAAGTACAAAGAAGGGCAGACAGAGTGTGTGCGGGGCAGGTGGGGGGGCAGCCGGATGGGATCTCTCTGGCAGTGCTGGGACACTCGTAGTGCACTCCTCCCCCTTTAAGACAGTGCTGCAGTGTCTATGAGCACCCTGATTTTCCTCGCGTGTCCCCCTATGAGAACAGGCATTCCCGCCCTCCCCAGCCCTTGTCACACTGCGCACTGCTCTGGGGTGTGGTGCAAATACCACTCCATAACAAACCTGGCTGAGAGCAGGCACAGCGGAGAAGATTCATGCTTCCCCTAGTGCGATACTCTGCCAGTTGCTGCAGAGCTTGTCCTGAAACAGGAGAGCCGACAGCTGCTCTTAAACACTGGAGTACGTCTGATGTAGAGAAGTGGGCTGAACAGGTGCAGCAAATGCCAGCTCCGCCCCCCACCCACCGCAGCCGAAGGGTGTTGTGTTTCCTAGCAGACAGAGCCCTGTGAACGCGAGGGGGTTGGGCTGTGTAAGCCATCCGTTAGAGCTGGAAATAGCACCCAGCGAAGGTGTTACCAGCCGGGGGAGTGTTACAAGCTCAGATGTGTGCTGGTGATGGTCTTAACACAAGGGGGCCAGAGAGCATCACGCCTGAGTGAGGTCAGGAGCCAGAGCGCTTTCTGGTCTGTGCGCAGAGAGAAAAGAAAGGGCCCTGGCACGTGTGCAGGTGTGAAATGGGGAGGGAAGCCCAGGGCATCTCTCAGCACAGCGTGAGGCGTCCAGTGGAACTCCCAAATTAACTGCTTAGATTGGAAACCCCTCCGAGCAGGGGCTGGGGTAACATTTTCAAATGCACCTCAGTGGCTTAGGTTCCTGTGTCACATTTCACATTTCAGGTGCATCTCACCTAAAGGATTTAGGTACCTAACTCCACCATTGAGGTCAATGGGAGTTTAGTGCCTTGATACCTTTAATAATCTGGGCCTTAGGCACTTAGAGCCAGATTTGTAAACAGATTTAGGTGCCTAAAGATGCAGAGTGGCACCTAGTGGGATTTTCAGATGAGCCTAGGAGCCTAACTCCCATTGACTTTCAATAAGACGGAGGCTCCTAAGTCACTTAGGGCCAGAGTTTAAAGGTATGAAGGCACCTGACTCCTGTGGATTTCAGTGGGCGTTAGACAAATCTTTATCAATCTGGCCCTTCGGTGCTTTTGGAAAATGTCTCTACACGTGTGGGTGTGCCCAGCCCCGAGCACACAGGGCCCTGATCCTGACTGCGGTCTCTAGGCACCACCACCACATCCGTGCTTCCGTTCCAGCCCATCGCAAAGCGCCACGCCAGACGTTACCAGTTCCAGGTTCCAGCAAAATAAGCTTTCAGGAAATGGAAGGCCCATGGAAATATTCCCATGAATTGACATGCAAGGGTCTGCCCCAGCCTGCGGCAGAATCCCAGGTTCTCAGTCACCAGGCAGCATGTGGGCATCTGGGAAGTGGGCTCTTCCCTGGATGACTGACTGTTTTCTCATGTGCAATTCAGCTATGCTCTTAGGGCTGGAGTGTACCCAGCCTGCAGGAGTGCAGCGGGAACCTGCACATTGCCAAACACGGTCTGGCCCCAGGCCTGGACGAGCCCAGTGCTGGGCAGAGAGGAGGCGAGGTCGTGGCAGAGCAGAGCTGGCCTGCTGTGGAGGGGGGAGCATACCCTGTACGCCCTATCCAGGGGTGGCGCAGCAGCTGAACTCCTCCGTCACCCCAGGCAGAACCAGGAGACATGGGGGGAAAAGGGGGGCAGGTTCAGCTCCAGAAGACACCATCCAGCCTGAGCTCATCCCATAGATTGGCCAGAGTGTGCAGTGCCCTACAATGTGCTTCCATGGGCAATGGGTTCTGAAGCCGCATTCAGGCCCAAATATTCAAAACACGCTCCCCAATCCCCAGGCCCTGCACCGGCACGTGGAGATCGGCTCCCCGTCTCCTGCCCCAGCAACTGCTTGCTCGGGGAGCTCTTTGAAGGGGTGAATGTCATTACCTGCTGGGTGTGCTGCAGCAAGGGAGGCCCGGTCCCACCGGGCTGTGAGAACGCCATCGGTGGCAGAGCTTTCAGCATCATGTTCTGCATAATGATCTGGTGCATCTGAGCGTTCTGCATCAACATCATCTCCACCATGTCTGGGAACAGAAAAATCCCAAAGGGAAAGGAACAGCATTGCCAGTGAGAGACAGAGGGAAAGGGGCGTCTCAGTGGGTCAGATCCTTAGCAGAGCGCCCAGACAGCTCTGACTTAGGGAAGGCAGCTGAAAGGGGATCTTGAAAGGGCCTTTCGCACTTGGAGGAGGAGAATGTTAGTAGACACCGCTATCTCCTTGGCCAGTGACTGCCCTTTATGGGCTGGATGAGAGCGTTCAGACTCTCAGCCCAGCTTAGTTTTTCCCTGTCTCTGCGAAGAAGCCCTCGCTACGTGTTTGTGACCCAAACTAAGGCAAGGCTCGCTGCTTTGGGCCTGTCCAGACTCTCAGACAGCGGCGGATTCAGAAAGGGCAGACCCTAGGTGACCAAAGCTCTGCACACGCAGGTCCAAAGAGGCTCATCACAAGTATTTGCGTAGAAACCAGTTCCTACGGCTTTACAGGCCAGAAAGTCCCACAAGGTTCCCATTCAAACACCTGGTTTGCCTGTGGCTGAAACACGTCACCGACCCACATTCTCAATTCAGTGTCACTGGATTCCTGCCCATTTGGACCATGAGAGTATTCCCAACACACAGGGTAACTGCGGGAGTGTAGCGAGGCGGCCTGGCTCCCCACCGCCCCGGAGGGGGACGAGCCCCTTCGGGCGCCAAAGTGGGAGGAGCCAGTGAAGCTTGCGCCTGTCCCCCAGAGGTCAGGGCGCAGGACAGGAAGTACAAAAGCCCAACCCCAGAGCTCACTAAAGGCCAGAGAAGACAGACGCCTGTGGCCTAGCTCCCGGTGGGGAGACTCCTGCAGTTTGCAGCCGACCCGAGGACTGGCCAGGTACCGACCAGGCCCCGGAGAAACTGGTAAACCTGCCTGTGGCAAGTTACCCAGAGGAGCTGCCAAGCCTGCCGCTCGCCGGGTACCCGGAGGAGCCCCTGGTGCTCGATTCCTTGGAAGACTCCGTCCAGATGCAGGTACCTCTAGAGGGGGAGGTAGGAAGTAGCCCAGGGGCGGCCGACCCTAGTCTGGCTGCAGCACACTGAGAGCTGATGTCAGTGTGTTGCGGTCAGGATCCCCACTGACACAGCAGTGGGCTAGGGCCCCGGGCTGGGACGCAGTGGAGTGGGTGGGCCTGCGTCCCCCCTGCCACCCAACGTGCAGGTGGCCGTCTCCCCCTCTCCCAGCCCTTCGGAGCCAGGTCCTGGGCCTCCTGAACTTACTTGTCTGCTCAGCCCCTGCCTGAGGGCCTGAGCTCCTGACTGTTAGTTGCCTCGTCCTGATCCAGGGCCGGGGCTTGCTAATATTTTTAAACTGTTTGCTCAGCCCCTCCTGAGGGCCTGAGCTGCTGACTGTTTGCCGCAAAGCCAGGCTAATTCCCTGACTCAAGTGACCTAAGTAGTGATGCGGCCTGGTTCCCCGCCACCCCGGAGGGGGACAAGCCCTGGCTGAACCCCTACAGGGAGATACAAGACTGACGCAGCCATGGGGACTGGGACAGTGTGCTCTCTTCTTTGTTTTTCCAGATGAATCAGAGAGGTCAGCCTGAGAAACCCCCTGACAACAGCTTCTGCTGGGCTGGGCTGGGCTGGGCTGGGCTGGGCTAGCCCCGCTGGCCACAGAGCACAACCACAGCCAACCAGGGTACAGGAGGATACTACATGCTTTCCATTGAATGATCTATCCCAAGAAACCAGCCTTGTCCCGCCAGCTGCAGCCTGTCCAATTCTGTGGGAAGCCAAGTAGAGAAAATGTTTCACAAAAAGCTCATTGTGGGCAGTCTGCAGGAACGTACGAGAGCCCAGCCAGCACGGCTGGGTCCCGGACGTCGCGCAAACATGAGCTGAGGCAGTGGGGAATTTTGCAGGTTTCCCGGCACTCTAGTGAGAACCCACACAAACTGAAAGTGAAAGATGATCTGCACCTACTCCCTGGAGCCCAAACCACTGTGCAGCACACAGCTGCGGTACAGGCCTGTGTCTGGGACCTTCGTTTGCTGCCATGAAAATGATTGGGAGGCCTCAAAGTGAGCATCATCCCTTCACTGCGAGATCACACAGGGACAGCCGGTGAGCTGCTGAGGGACAAACTGTTAATCACCCAGGGCTTCTATCACCAGAAAACATGACCTGAAATTTGAGGGGAAAAACAAGGGAAAGGAAAAAATTTCTTTTAAATGTTTGTTTAAACATCTTCTCCAGCTTTACGAGACATTAAACTGTCACCCTGAAATTTCTTTCCATGTGGATTTAAAAATGCATCTAAAGTATATATCCACCTTGAACCAATCACCCTAATATCTTGGCACCAGAATCAATTCAACCACAACACAAAAACAATTGAAGTAACCAGGTTTTTCATTTAACTGGACATATTGAGCCAAATTCATCCCTGGGGTAAATGCATCATCTTCAGGGAATTAGAGAGACAAGATGGGTGAGGTAATAGCTTTTATTGGACCAACAGAGCTCTGTGTGGCTCAAAAGCTTGTCTCTCTCACCAGCAGGAGTTGGTCCAATAAAAGCTATTATCTCACCTACCTTGTCTCTCTAATATCCTGGGATCTAAATGGTTACAAGAACGCTGCATTCAACTTCAGGGTAGTCAGACATAAATGTGGTCCATTTTGTTTTAGAAAATAAATTGATTCAAATAAACCAGAGACTTTATTAAATCCCCAAGCAACAGACTGTGGAGTTGCTCTCTGATTTTTTCATTTCCCTGCAGTACCAGGAAACCTCACGCAAAAATCTGAGTTGGGGAAAGAAGCCCAGATATTAGCTCCATATGCTATTCTTGGACCTTGCCCACTTCCATTTAGAAACACCAAACCAGTTTGTTTATGTGCATGCAGGGTAGCACGTTCAGCTGCCGCCTCTTGTTTCCAATGACAGGCGGTTCCTACACGTTTTAAAATAAACGCTGATATTGTACGAAGGAGAATGGACAGTGGGTACAAAATCCCTGTTTGCTCATTGTAGCGTTATTAGTTGTTTGTAAAGGTTTGAGCTACAAATGCCCTTGTTAATATTTAACCAGTATGTTCTACTTTCCCCAAACCCTCTCCGCAGCTTAACCTGGTTTTTACCAAATGTACAGTGCCTCTGTCTGTTGCAAGATAAAGTGCCCAGCAGCGCTAAAGTTATTCTAAGTTCCCACGTCAGAGGGCCCAGATATTTGATTGGCAAGACCAGTAATTCCATTGACAGCCTGGTTGTGCTAGGTCACAAGGTAACTTGAGTGCTGTCTCATGTCACCACAGTGATACTTTCTCCTTCTTTCCTGAGCTCCCTCTGAGCTCGGAGCACTGAATGACCCAGCATGTTAGGGTGGCTTACCTTCCTTAATGCTTCCAGAACGGGGGAGCGGGAGGGGCTGTGGAGGCGGGATCTGTGTGATGAGAGGTGGCTGCTGAGGTAACTGTTGGATGATGGTTGCAGGTTGCTGAGGCATCTAGGAACAAAAGGAAAATAAGAGGAATCAGGATTGCCATCTGCCTGCAATGCTGGGCTCTCTGGGCTACTGCGTTTCATTTTCTGATGCCCTGCATGCTTCACAGCTGAGCCACACGTTACACCTGCAGGTGTCCAGCTCAAAGATAAGGGTGTGACTCTATGTCCCATATTCTTCCTAGAGATATGCTTATGATAAGAATATGGCATAACTAAGATATGTTTTATGCAAGATGGGTCATGTGAGGTTGTAACTGTGCCTTCATGGGTCACAACTGAGAATACCAAATTCAGGACAAACTGCTGAGAAATAGGGCAGACACCCCCCACAAAACTGGTGGCTATTCTCCCATAAGATATACCAAACCAGCAATAAAAGTGAACTTCTGTTGCACCACACTGGCTAACAAGAAGTCATAAAAGCAGTTTCCTTAGGCATTCCAGTCCTTGTATCACCACTAAAAACACTAGACTTTAAGACGAGTGGTTCTTTACAACCAATTTCATCAAATGAAAGGTGGTTCTGATCCCAAAGGATCAGCCACACACCCAGGTCAATATATAACTCAGATCTTACCCAATAATCATGCCGTTGCCAATCCTTTAGTATCTAATCTCTAAAGGTTTATTTATGGGCAGGTCTACACTACAGCAGGGATCGACGCTCTGAGATCAATTCACCGGTGGTCGAGTTAGCAAGTCTAGTAAAGACCCACCAAATCGACTGCAGATTGCTTTCCAGTCGATCCCTGTACTCTACCCCCGACGAGAAGAGTAAGGTAAGTCAACGGGAGATTTTCTTCCATTGACCCCCCAGGGTGTAGACCCCGTGGTAACTAGATCTATGGTACGTCGACTCCAGCTACTTTATTCACATAGCTGGAGTTGAGTATCATAGGTCGACTTACTGCAGTAGTGTAGACATAGCAGAAGAAAGAAAGAAGAGAGTTAAAATTAGTTAAAGGAATCAAACACATACAATGATTGCAATTTATTGGTTCAGGCTTGTAGCAGTGATGGAATAAACTGCTGGCTTTAGTCAAGTCTGTGGTTCCTTCCAAATCATTAGAAGATCCTCAGTCCCTTGGTTAGAATGCTCCCATTAGTGTAAGTCCATTGTCCAGAGGCTTGAGCAGGAAAGAGGCAAAATGGAGATGTTTCCAGTGCTTTTTATAGCTTCTGCCATGTGGAGGGAAACCCCTTGTTCCAAACAAAGCTCTCAGCACAGTTAGTGGACAATCACAGGTAAAAGCTGGAGTTTGGAGTGACATGGGCAAGTCACACGTCAATGCATGATTTCGCTTAGTCATAGCAGGAAAGTCCATGAAGTGTAGATAGGAGTCTCCCATGGTCCATTGTGAGTTCAGTATATGTTGCTGAGCCACTTAATTTGAATAGCCCCTTCAAGATGTGCAGGCTAAATACACCTCTACCCCGCTATAACACGACCCGATATAACACGGGTTCGCGTATAGCACGGTAGCAGCGGGGCTCGCCGGCGATTTAAAGGGCCTGGGGCTCCCCGCAGTGGCTGGAGCCTGGAGCCCTTTAAATTACCACTGGAGCCCTGCCGCCCCACCGTGATATAACAGGGTTTCAGCTATAACGCAGTACGGCAATTAGGAAGGACAATAGGACTTTGAAGATACTAATTTCCTTCCTTCCTGAGAAGTTCCCTGGGGTGCTGCTTTGACAGGGACACCATCTTGGACTTTTAGTGTTTTTCCATTAAGAGGAGGTGGGAGTCAAACTGGGAAATAAAGGATTCCTGACATATGCAAATCCTATTTAAGGCTGGGGAGTGAGTTAATCTTGGTTCTTCTCCACTGCCTCCCCGCCCAAGAAGGAAAACTGCTGAAAACACCTGAAGAGAAAGGAACTAAGCTGGGGGTGGGGGGGCAGGGGCTGAGCTCAGGTGAGAAAGGTCTAGCCCAGGAGTGGCCAACCTGTGGCTCCGGAACCGCATGCAGCTTTTCAGAGGTTAATATGCGGCTTCTTGCATAGACACTGACTCCGGGGCTGGAGCTACAGGTGCCAACTTTCCAATACTCACTGTTCAACCCCTGCCTCTGCCACAGGCCCTGCCCCCACGTCATCCCTTCCCCTAAGGCCCTGTCCCTTCCCGCCCCCTTCCCCGAGCCTGCCGCACCCTTGCTCTTCTCCTCACTCCCCAGAGCCTTCTGCATGCTGCGTGAGACACAGGGAGGGAGGGGAGGCGCTGATGGGCGAGCGGCTGGCAGGCAGGGCAGGGGAGCTGATGGGGACTGCTGACATATTACTGTGGCTCTTTGGCAATGTTCATTGGCAAATTCTGGCTCCTTCTCAAGCTCAGGTTGACACCCCTGGTCTAGCCTGTGAAAGGAATACCTGGATATTTAAGCTGCAATCAGTGCAGTTTACCTTCAAGAAACTCTACAACCTAAACAAAACAACATTTAGGGTGAGAACGTGCTACTGTTAACCAGTTAATTTAGCGTATTAAGCTTAGTGAGGGTGTTTTGTTTGATTTGCTCAGGAATCTGCTTTGATCTGTTTGCTATCCCTTATAATCTCTTGAAATTTACCTTTTGTAGTTAATAAACTTTATTTTTGTTTATTCTAAAACCAGTTTGTGTAAATCATAACTGGGGGGTAAAAAGCTGTGCCTATCTTCCTCCACACTGAGGGAGTGGACAGATTTCATGAACTTACGCTGTATAGATTTCTGTGCAGTGCAAGACAATATAATTTTGGGTTTATAGTCCAGATAGTGTGTGCACCTAAGTGCTGGGCCTTCCCATGCAGCACTGATTTCAGTATCCGTGTCATTCTGCAGCTGGGTGTGTCCCTACCCGTGTGTGTGCTAGACGAGGCTTGAGGGCCTGGCTCAGCAGGGCAGAGCGAGGGAGCCCAGCCTGGTGGAACGGGCGGGCTCAGTGGAACCCCAGTACATCAGGTGGCACTCCGGAATGGGGGACACCCTGTCACAAAGGGTCTCTAGAAACTAAGGCTGTCCAGGTGTCTAGTTACTAGCTTGCAGGCACAACGTGCAGCTGTTGCTTGGGGATTTAATAAAGTCTCTGGTTTATTTGAATCAATTTATTTTCTAAAACAAAATGGACCACATTTATGTCTGACTGTACATTACAGCTGTGTCCGACCAGTCTCCTGACATGTCACCACGGGGGTTGGGTGTGGTCTTTGCCAAAAGAACTAGCTGATCATCATGGTGTTGATGTTTGGAGAGATGTTTGTACAGGAAATATTGGAGAGATGTGGAATATTATGTTCCAGTGCTGTTGGAGATGAAGCATGTCACCTGAGGGGGGGTCAGGTCTCAGCTAACTCAGTCAAAAGTGATCACCAGATGCAGACCTGAGCATTTACAAAGAACCCCAAGAAAAGACCCAGAATAGGGGACCCTCAGGGCTGAGCTGAAGATAATGAAACTCCCTGATTATGAAACGAGTCACAGTCTGGGGCTGTATAAGAGAAGAGGAAAGGGCACAAGATATTATCTGTTATGGAGGAGATACTCTTCCAACGCAAGTATCTCATGAAAAGTGGATCCCAGCTCCTGGAACTGGACAAGTGCTGTAAGGATTGACTGTCGGGCGAGAAATACCTTATTGGCCAGGAAAGTGTCTTGTGAATAAGTATAGGCTATAGATTGTGTTACATTTTTCTTTTACCTGTAACCTTATGCTTCCAAAGCCTTTTACTAGCTTTTATGTGACTCTAACTCAAGCTTTGTTAAATAAATTCCTGTTTGGTTTCACTATCAACACGTCGGAGTGCCTTGTGCTAAGGAGAGTGTTGAACTGAGGTGAAGCCAGTAAACTAGGGTGCTCTGCTTGCACAGAAGCAGTGGATTGGTGCACACTGCAGGCTCCAGAAGATAAGGCACTGGGCATTGGACTGTAACAAGGTGGGGTGTGCTCACTGAAGGCCTGCAGAGGGAAAGCGCGAGGGGCAGAAAACTTGTGCTGCTGGCAGAGTTGGGAGGATTTCCCTCAGAGGGCACAGACTAGACTCTCTCGTGCTGTAAGCAGGTGGGAGTGATTCACCCTGGACACCTTGGGGAAGCCCCAAGAGCATCACTGCTCCCCTAAAATGGATGGGGAGAGAGAGGTGCCTCCAAATGTCATCCACAAAAGCCACTCAGGCTGAGGCTCATGACCTGCAAGTGGCTCTTTCCTGTGTGATTCAATCATTAACCAATCAGGATGCTTTTCCCATGTTATTAACCAAGTGCAGAATACTTGGTCAGTCACTTTGCTGTGAGAACATGTGTGCATATAGCAAATGGAACAATGAACTCACACTACTGTGGCTCTTTTAGGGAATACTGATCGCCTATTTGGCTCCTGAACCCCCGAGGCCTGAGTCTCACTGCCCTTGCCCAATGGTTAGCAAGGCTGGCTCCAGGCACCAGTCTGGCAAGCAGGTGCTTGGGGCGGCCACTCCGGAGGGGGGCGGCACGTCCAGCTATTCAGCGGCAATTTGGCGGACGGTCCCTCACTCCCGCTCGGAGCGAAGCACCTCCCGCCGAATTGCTGCCACAGATCGCGATCGCGGTCTTTTTTTTTTTTTTTTTTTTTTTTTTTTTTTT